AGGGCTCAGAGGCTTCCCTACTGGTCCTGGCACCTGCCCGACACCCATCCTTGCCAGCTCTGTTCAGCCCCCTCTGCCATCCTAATAGTCACCTTCATGTGTTTTCAATAACTCCCCCATTTTTGCATAAACCAGTTCAAGATTGATTTCTGTCAGCCGCAACTGAAGAATGCTGGTAAATTCAACAGGAAAGATGGAAAATCAGTATGTGAAACCTCTGCTTTGGGAGCTGCCCATGCCAAGGGCCCCGCACCTCTGGATTGGGCGTGGGGAGCCTGAGATGTCCACCTCACACACTGGGCACCTTGCTCAGCAAAGTGCACCCCTGGGCCTGCAGCACCAGCACCCCCAGGCTCCTCAGTCAGATTCTGCACCTTACAGCACATTCAAGTGTTTGGAGGCACAGGCTGGCCAAAGGCTTTTACTCTCTTTCTTTCCCGTGAAATGCAGTGTGTGGTTCATATATTGCATTGTTTGCTGTCTATTATTTCTCAGCAATGTCTTCTCCTTTATTTCTGGCAAGATTCTGTCATCTATTTTGCCTCCTATTAACTTAATATTGAATTTAACTATTGTTATCACAGCCTAGTAGGAAAAGGGTAAAGAGAAAGGAAATTAAACATGATTATAATACAAATATGACTGTGACACATTAAAGAGGTAAATGCAGAAAGAGCTACAGTTCTTGTTAAAATCTGAAGCAAATGGATTTTTCTTTATGAGTGATCTTTCTTTTTTCTGGATCTTTGAACAGTATTTTACCTTTGGCGTTCAGTGATTTCACGAGACGTGGTGCCCTCTGTAATCTTCTCAGCACACAATCAGGGCTTTCAGTGCTGAGAGCAGATACCACTTTAGTTTCTTCTGGTACAGCTTTGAGTGAAACACTGGCCAACATCAAAATCCTGCGTTCCCCTTTCCACAGTCAAGTCACCTAGTGGCATAAGGATTTCTAGAGAACCAAAATATGATGACTCCAAATAACACTTCATGTTATATTTTACACTTACACATTTTTATATTTCTGAATTTCCTCAAATGACCGTGTATACCGTCTACAATTTATTTAATATGTCCGCAGGAACCTGGCTGAACACATTTGGAACGTCTTAGCCTCTAGGTGGCAGTGTGGTCTACCTGGGAATGCCACCGATTCATGGGCGATAACTTCACCCGAGGCACAGCCTTCCACCTGCTCCTTGATGCCTGGGCTGCACTTGCCACCTGGCTTTCCTGTCGATTTTCTGTCTTACAACCAGTGGCTTATTTTATATAGCTTGCCTCATATTTCCACCCTGTTTTAATAGTTTTAAATGTTACTATAGTATAGAAAACATTCTTACTGTAAAGACTTACTCTTTATGAAACGATCAACTGAAGAAAGAACAGTTTAAATAAAATGCGGTGCTGTTCCATTTCGCCTGGCTTACGCCAAGTCAGCAGCACAAATGAGGCTGAGCAGCCAGGCTGTTGACATCTGCCAGCATCAGGAGCTGAGTGGCCCCAGGTGGAATAGCCGTTTTCTGCTGCGACAAATCAGCGCCTGAAAAATGAAACGCCAGGACCATGGCGACTAGAATTGTGTAAAACCTGCCGACTCCCCTTGCCAGGTGCTTGGGGTGTATGTGAAATGAAAGCCTGTGAGAAACCCCTGCAGCTGTCTGGGTTCCCAAGGCATTTATATTGCAGCCTGCTGCAAACAAAGACCTTTGTTTTGAAAATGAAATCTGGATGTGCTTGAAAAATGTGACTTTCAAAGCATTAATTTGTCCAGGTAAGTGCTACCGTGTGGCTAAGTGGAGCACTAGAGGTGGTGCTGGCAGAGGCAGGGGGCCTCCTGTGGCACGGAGGCCTGAAATGCAGGCATAGTAGGCAGGTGGACAGTCCAGGCCCTGGCACAGGGGTTGCCCCAGCGCCCCTCCTGCAGCCCTCATTTCTAGTTAGGCCTGGGAGAAGCTCCCACACTGCCTCCTCTCCCATGGCTACTTCCACCGCTTGGCTTTCAGAGTCCCAGCCACGTCGTCGCACACATAGGATTTCTGATGATTCAGATGAAACCCTTCATGCACCTCGGGCCCGTGACTGTCTTTTGGGCAGGGGGGCCGCCAGTGCTGATGAGAAGGGCACTGTCTTCAGAGGTCTTACTGCACCCTACACGCACTGGGCTTCTCACCTTGGGGTGACCCGGTGTCCCAGCTGCGCTAGAAGCGTGTGAAGCTTTTGTCGCATGTTTTGCACATGTGGACTCTCCCTCTTTACTGCTTCTCCTGTGGATCCCAAGGTGTGGACCAAGGAAAAGGCTGGGTCCCCACTGTGCACTGCCAGCACCTTCTCCTTTAGAGACTGTCCAGTGTGTTTTGTGTAATTGTCTCTCCTGGAGAAAGAAGTTCTCAAGGCTCCATAACCTGCCCTCCTGTCCAAGGGCTTCTCTACTGACCCATGTTGGAGGCTCACCCCCTGAGAAGCTTTCAGAGGCTTCTCCTTGGGGCTCTGCAGCTTGCAACGTTTTCATCCTTGCAATCGATCCCCAGCCAGAGTATGAAACAAAGATAAAGGGCTTGAGTGGGGAGGCCCACCTGTGGCTCCCTCACACCCGCAAGCATCGAACTACGTTCAAGACCTCTCCACCAGGCAGGGCTCTCCACAGCTAATCCCCACTTCACTGGCTGTGCCACCTGCCCCCACAGATCCCCTAGTATGTTCCAACTTTTTCCTCTCCATCTTTCCCTTGCTGAAGGCTGTGGCAGATGCAGCCGGCAGCCAACGTCAGATCCCTGGCCCACTGCAGATTTCAGCCCCAACCACCGCCAGTATCCTCCCAGGTCCTTCTCCAGAGCTGTGCTGCCATTCCCCTCCCCACCTCACCCAACCCCACGCTGCATTCGAGGTGCTGCCCTGGGGTGGAGGCAGAGGATGAATGGCTGGCCTCCCTCTCTGCTGGACCATCCCTAGATGACTTCTGTGCACCTCAGTGGTCCAGGGCCATATGCTGCATATGGTCCCAGCAGTACCCCTCCCACTGACTGGTCTCTTCTTCCCAACTCTCCCTGCTCTCTCCCTCCCACTTCCGAAATTGCTGCCTTCCAAATACACCAACTGTACTCAAATCTCTAAGGCTCTAGGCTCAGGGGACTGAAACTAAAGTAGCTGACCCCGAGAGTTTCTGGGACAGGGTCATTGCTGCTCAGACTAGTGCAGGACCCCAGTGCAGGGGATGAGGGTGAGAGAAACCCAGGGCTGCACCATCAGGAGGCTAGGACTGTCACAGTGGTAGATGGAGAGACGGCAGCAGGAAGGGGAGTTAGGGTTCTGTGTTTGTTCTTGCCCTGTGTGTTCTTGCTTTGTGGCTGTCCAGGGCAGTGGTCTTCAGAAGGACCATGGCTCACCTGGCCTTTGTAAATGGAGGAGGGCCCAGGGGGAACCTATGGAGGATGGAAAAGTCCTATGTCTGGACTGTGGAGGTCACAGAGTGATACATTTGGCACTCTTTATCAAATATATATATTAAAAATAACTGGATTAGATTGTTTATAAATTATGTATGTCTGAATGAAACTGATAACAAAATCCAGGATACTGTCCCCTCCCCCACTCCAAGACTGACAAATATCAGAACGTCAGATAATGTAAGTGTTGGTGAAGACGTAGGGAAATAGCAATCCTGTCTCTATATATATATACACTCTATTAGAGTATAAATTATGACAGCCATTCTGAAAAGCAGTATGGCGATACCTAAAACTAAAATGTGCTCAGTTAACCCTATTTCTAGGCATATCCCCTAGAGAATCCATGCTCAACATGGGGATACCACACAAGATTTGCAGTCCTGGTTATTTGTGACAGAGAAAAGGAGGAACCAGGCAGACGTTAATAGGAGGGGTAAATAGAGAGCAGTGTAGACATACAGGGGGACCCTGCGGTTAAAATGAGTGGGCCAGACCAGCTATTTGTGTTAACATGGGGTGATCTTAAAACCATCCTGATTAAAAACGGCCAATTGTAGAAGGCGATGGCACACCTGCCGTGCGAACGGTTAAAATGCACACACAGAAGGATGCCTCCTGTTGCCTGCAGACGTTGCCATAGCCGGTGTCAGCAGCGACCAGCTGCAGGGCTAGCCACATGTCCAATGGCTCCTGTGCATCCTGGGGCCTGGGTAGGTATTCTCCATGCTAATGGACGCTCCTTCCATCGTGTGCCTTTCTCTTTGTATTCCTGAGCTCAGACCAGGAACACAGGTCCCCATCCAGGCCCTGTGGGGCCGGATGTGCCCCCAGCCATTGTTAGTGGTTCCTAACTAACCTGCCCACCTGGGGCACTGCCCGTGGATACGTGGGTGTTTCCGAATTCCCCCGGAGGTTCAGTCACCCATCTGTTTTTGATAATGAGACACCTGCTCTTTCACCCGGGCTGTTGAGGAATAAATAGGTAGGATTTCTCTTGACCGTCTCCGGAGGTACTTCCATACCTGTACAAGACAGGGAGAGGGCATGGTGACCCGACGTCTCTGCCTTCAGTTCTCGTTCGTGACAGATGTTAAAGGACCTGCCTTGCAGGGTTGTAGGGCGCGTTCCGAGGGGAGGTTGTGTGTCAGTGGCGCCCAAAATGTCGCCGTGCTCAGACTATCACTGCGTCCCGTCTTACCTGCCCGTGTGGCGGGGGTGGTGGGACGGGCACCGGACCCCGGGCGCGGGCATGAACTTCGACATGACCCCCCCGAGAGGGCCGAACCTGGTCAGGGGACGCGGGCCTCCTGGGGTCTGAACGCGCCCCCGGTCCGCCCGGCTTTATGGCTCACTGAAGTTCTCGAAACCACCTGCATTTGGCACACAGGCCGCGCTCCAGGCGCGCGAGCGCGCAGCGTGAAGTCCAGCTCGCCGGGCCCAGCCGCTACCCACGTGCCCACGTCCCCACGCCGGGCCGGAAGTTCGCACCACCGAAAGGCTGCCCACCCCGGCGCGCCTAGAGCGGCACAGGAAGCTCCCCGGGCGGGGCCTCCGGCCGACTTCCGGCCGCGGGGTGCGGGCGGCCGTGCGCGCTTTGTTGGCCGGCCTGAGGGCGGGCGGCCGGCGGCTCCGAGTGCAGGCTCGCGCCGTCCTCTCGCCGCTGGGCGCCGGGTGAGTGGCGCGTCCCGGGCCGCGGGTGGGGGCCACAGGGCCCGCCGGGCGGGCGGGGGTCGAGGGCGCTGAGCGCGGCCTGCCCCCACGGGCGTCTGCAGCCTGGGCCTCGGTAAGCCCGTCTCCCGGCAGCCGTCACGGCCGCCCTGCGGGGCCGCAGCCCAGCCCCGGCCCGCAGCCTCCCTCCGTAAGGAACGTGTGGGTAAACGCTCGCTTCCCGTCTCGGTTCCTTTCCCCGGCTCCCGAAGGCCACACACCCAAGTCCTAGAACCTCTAGGTTAAGCGTCTGTGTTGTGGATGTCAGGCCTGCTGGCTCCTCTGAGGTGGCCTGGCGGGTACACGTGAAGGTAGTACTGCAGTTTTGCCCTAGGCCTGCCTCCACTCCCTGGAGCACGGGGATGCTCACCAGATGATGCGAGGAAAGTGGCGGGGGTCTTGAGCCTCTGTGCTGGAGGAGATGAAGAGCAGGCACCCTCTGCCCTGGTGGGGGTAGAGGTGGGGAGGGGTTGGCATGACCGTAATTCCCCCCAACCCTTGGGCCTGAAGAATTCCCGGCTGGGGGCAGGTGCTGTGGCTGCGCTGTGCTAGCCCTTCCTGAAGGTTTCCTTTCCCCTAGAAGTCTATCAGTTCCAGTGGTTGACTGCTGATGTCAGGGACGTTTTACCTCCTTGCACACCGGCTACATCATGGGCATGAGGTGCTTGGCCTGAGTAGCATGCCTGAGGTTTTCCAGGCGTGTTGGCTGGGGCTAGGCCTGAACTCAGGCCGTTTTTCTGTACAGCTCATGCTCGATGAGTGTCCTGCAGTATTATATCTGCAGCATGTCTTTTCCCCAATGAACGACAGAAATAGGTGCCTTTTGCCCACCTGGGATCTGAGAGATGCCTATCTATTTAACAGTATGCAGGGGATACTTTGCTTCCAATCCACAGAGATGGGACTACTGTCCCAATTGTAGGTATAGCATTATAATGGAATCTTAATACCAGCGATAAGCCCTGCATCCCTCTCATGGGAGATACAGAAGTTAAGGGAGGGCTTGCTGCACTGTTCACAAGCCTGTGCATGCAGCTGCAGCCTCTCCTAGAGTGATGGTGATGGATTCCTGATTCTCCTGGAAAGGTTTTAGAGAGGGCAGGGCTGGGAAGACATTCATGAGTTGGGTTGGGGGTCAGGGAAAAGCAGCTGTCCCAGAATAGGAGGTGCCATCAAAGCAGTTCAAAGAGCTGTCAGGCATGTCCCATGCTGCCTCAGGTCATGGGAGGTGATCCAGCTGAAAGGACACTGGGTTTGTCAAAAAAGAAGACCATTGCATTCTTGGGCAGAGTCGTGGGAGCAGGAACCAAGATGGCCTGGTGGTGGGGTGGAGAGGAGGAGACTGCAGCTGGTTTGGCCTTAAGAAAGGCCCTCCTGAAGTTCTTGGATAGTTGAGGGGAACAGAAGAAAATAAGAAACAAGACACCTTATATAGTGTCTGGCACACATCACGGGCTCCGTTCCCTCTAACTGCAGTGTCAGGAGCACAGGTTGATGGCTGGCAGCTGTAGGGCAGGCACAGAGGCTCAGATTCTCGGGGAGTCCTAGTCTGTCTCATTCAGGTGCCCTGGTGCTCTCTTGTTATTACCAAGGCCAGATGGGAGCAACAGGCGCCAAGGTTTGCCTGCTCACAGGCAGTACTATGTTGCTGCAGCCCCTCCTTGGGGGCCTGCCCTGCCCACAGTCTTGGCTTGGTGGAACAGAGCCCAATGTGCCCCTGTGTGGTAAGTTGGGTGCTGCACGTGTAGTTATTTTCACAAAGCTTTCTTTGGGTTAATTCATTCCACCTCTTTGCGGAGGAGAAAGGGTTGGGCAAGTGGGCACAGTACTTCAGGGAACAGCCTACCTCATGACACAGAGGTCCGGGCTCCCTCCAACTCCTGACCCCTTCAGGGACTCAGTGAGCACCTGTAATGGTGACACCGTTCACAGAGCAAGTACAATCATGTGGATGAAGTTGAAGAATGCCAGGAAAAGGTGGCAGATGGATGGGTATAGTGTGGTCCCACCTATATTTTTGGAAATTTTGTGTCTGTAAGTAAATACACTGTGTAATTGTATTTCAGTAAAGTGTGAATGAATATGTAACAGTGGTTATCTGTTGAATTGCTAGGGATTTTCATGTCTATATTCCACATTTCTTTATTGTTTTAAATGTTATAATGTATTTTATGTTTTTAATCAAGAACTATAAATATATAAAAGTAAAACAGCTTATAAAACTGAGTAGTATGGTCCTGATTTCACAATACTGGTGTGGGAAAAGATCAGAGGAAAAATACTAACTGGTAATCTGAGTGTTGGGATTGAAGGTGATTTTCTTCTTTTAAGTTTTTCATTATTTCATTTTTCTCAGCATAATTTTCCTTTAAACCTTGAAAAAAATAACTAGTTAAAAGTCATTTTTATAAGGTAGAGAAAGTTTTTTAAGCCAAGTTAGGGTACCTTTAACTCAGAAAAACATTCTCAGTGAATGCCACCAGGCAGTCGTGCTAACTGCTATATCCCACACGGGGTGGGCTGCTGCTCCAGGGAGCTGCTGCCAAACTACTTAGTAAGCAGATCTCATGATAGAAGCTCCTCATGTGACCTGTATTCAGCTTCTCATTCTTAATGCCATGTGTTGGTATGCAGACTCAGTTGTGCCGTCTTCACAGGGAGCTTTGCATTTGAACAGATTGTTTATTAGTATTATTTAAGCCTGGGTTCAAGCTATTGTAAGATTCAAAACTAGTGTTTCCAACAAGAAACTTGATTTCTCATGTTTCATCTCACAGGCAGGTAGGTGGCTCTGCCCTTTAAGGCCCTCCAGAAGTCTGGCTTCTCTGCCTCATTGGCATGTCCCTGTGGGGTTGTGGGGGGCATGTGAGGACAGGCCTTGTGCACACATCCATCCCATTCCCATCTCATTGGCTGGATCTCTATCACAGGGTCACTCCAGACTTCAGGCACTCTAGGAAATGTAGCCATTTGGTGGATGGCCACATGCCCACTAAAATTTCAGATGGGGTTTTTATCACTTAAAGGAAGCAGAAGTGCTGGGCAGTCTTCAGTCTCTGCCACAGTTTACCCCACTGGCTGCTCTTCATTCCCCCAGGCCATACTCAGTTACCACCTCTAGCCCAGAGCTGGGCTTTCTGGGTAGCATACAGGTTTCTCCTCTAGGTGCCAGTGCAACTTCATGCAGTCACACTCTAAACTCAGACCAAGTCCTGGCCTCCCTGGATACCCTAACACTTAGCAGAAGAGAAGGATGACCACATAGACATGCCTACTCAGGGATGGGAAGAACCTCAAACCCATAGCAGTTACCGGTCCACACCTGCAGTGGTGCCCAGTGAAATTTGCAAAGGTGTTGTGAACTGGTGGCTACTAAAGAAAAGCAGTCCTAGGATCCATGACCCAGCAGAAATGAGGACCTCCCTGTACCAAAATAAAAGTACAGGAATGTTCATAGCAGCTTTATTCATAATAACCCCAAACTATAAACAACCAAAGTGTTTATGAACAGAAAAGTGGGAAAATAAACAGATGACCCATAGACATAATGTTGAGCATAAACACAGACATTTTGGGGGGGCGATGAAATTGTTCTGGAATTAATTAGTGGTGATGCTTCATATTCTAAGAAACACTGAATTGTTCACTTTGAAATAGTTTTATGGTATGTGAATTATACTTCAATAAAAAAAAGACACAAAAGAGAACATGCTGTATGAGTCCATTTAAGTGAAGTAAAGAAGTGGGCAGAATTCACCTTTAATAGTAGAGATGGTTACCATTGAAGGAGGAGACTTTGGGGTGACTAAAGTGTTCTTTGTTTACCTGGTGGTGGTTACACGGGTGTGCATGAGTTCATCAAATGGTGTGCACTTTATGCAAGTCATAGCTCACACAGAAAGGAAAACATACTGAAAGGATGCTCTACTGTGTGTGTAGAGCATGTGTTACCTGGTCAGTCCACTGCTGCTGCTCCCCACCACCCACAGCTCTGTCCTCAGCTGCATTCTTGTTTTTGACAGCCACACTGGAAATGAGTTTTGGAGGGCATCCCTTTGTGGAACTGCAATCAGTATTCTTCCCACTGGTGCATGTTTGAGGTGAGAAGGAAGTGATTGTATGGAGCTCCATGGAAGCAGACTCAGCCGGGAGAGCTCTCACGTGATGCATCTGTAAAGAAGGCAGGACTGGGCATTGGGGTTGACACTGAGGCTTCAAATCCCAATGGAGCTCTGAGGCTGGAACAGTGTTTCAGAGTTGCCCCAGATGGAAGGGGGGGTACTCTAGGTTCCTGTTATCTGCCAGCCATTGGCTGGGGCATGGTAGCCCTCTCAGATGGGCCTCCAAGATTCTTGGTCCCCAATGTACACACACCTCCCAGTTGCCATGAAGGAATTTTGCAGATATAATTGAAGTCCCAAGTCATCAGACGTAAGGTGGGGAGGTTCTCCAGGTAGGCTGACCTAATCATGTGGACCCTTGGAAAGCACAGGGTTTCTGCAGCTGGTAGCAGAAAAGGTCAGAGAGTTTCTACGAGCTGTTCCTGCTTGGAAGATAAGAGTGGCTCCTAAGAGCAAGGAGTAGCTTCCAGCCAACAGCCAGCCAGGAATCAGGGACAGTCCTACAATAGCAAGGAACTGAATTCTGGCAACAATCTGAGCTTGGAAACAGGTTTTCTCAGAGCTTCCAGGTGAGATGGCCTGGCTGACACTGTGCTTGACCCTCAACAGGGGTACTAGTCATGCTGTGCTGTTTTCTGCTGCTAAATCTGTGGTAAATTGTTGTGCGTTGATGGATAACTAAGAGTGAGCCTTCCCTGGGAGAGGGCATGACCTTGGGTGAGGCAGACCTGCCTGAAGGCAGTTCACAGTGTGGGAATGCCAGACATGGAGGGAGGGCATCACTAAGCAGGGAAGCTGGGTATAGCACCCCAGGAACTGGAAGGTTAAATAACCAGGCTGAACAAGCCTCCCCAAAGTAAACACCCTTGTGTGATGCAGACCACCAGAACCCCAAGTCCCCTGGCACCTCCTACCAGTCTTCATATTCTCCCTGAAGATAATCACTGTCTCTTGGTTCTCCCACCATGGTTTTGTCTGCTTTTGAATGTTATACAAATGGAATCACACAATATGACCTCTTTTGTGCCTGGCTGCTTTTGTTCTACATTCCATCTCTGAGATTCATCTTTGTTCTTGTGTGTGGCAGTCTGTTTCACTGCTATATATTATCCCTGGTGGGAGTACTCCTCAATTTACCCATCCTCTGTTGATCGATACCTGTATTTTGTTGCTGCTATGAACATCCAGCTCTAGGCTTCTGCAGGGCAGGCTTGGTGTCATTGACTAGATGAGAGGGAAGGTTTTAGTGTACAACTGGAGGTATTTGCCTTAGATTGGATCAAGGAGAGTTTGGCGTGTGTAGGGAGGGCATGGTGTAGGTACAGACAGGTTGGTAGATGGGATGGGAAAAGGTGGATGTTCTTGTCTCATTGCTTCTATTTTCTCATTGAAATAGACAAGAGCATCAGCTGAGAGGGAGGTGGGAGTAATGGACATTTGAGAAGAGAGGAAAAGGCAGGAGATGGTCTTGTGGGAGAGTCAGGGAGTGTAGAGATTGCTGAGATCAGGGCCCCATTAAGCAAGGGGTTATAAATGTAGAGAGAGCTTAGTCTGCATGGATGCAGACACTGATCATGAAGCAAACTGAATTTAACCTGAGTAGGGGTTCTCCTGTGCAAGTCTGATAGAGGAAGAAAAGGGCAGGGGGAGTTAGGATTAATATGCAAGAGAATGGCCATAATATATAACCTCAATCTATATATTATGTAGACCTCAGAGCATGGGACCTAAGCTGTGTAAGGATGGGAAGGAGGACATAAGGGATGAAAGACAATGAAGAGGTGGTATTTGGCAAGTTTGTGTTTCTTTGGAAATAGGTCTTGATTTTTGAATGGAGTCCAAACCATGTCCTTACCCAGTCTGTCCGTCCAGCCAGTCTGTCCTCTGGAGTTGGATGTTTCAGATGGCACCCCAAAGACTTCCCAAGTGGTTGAGGCTGGTGTGGGGTAAGAGGCATGCTGTGGTGGCAGTGTGTTGGCTCAAAAGCATGTGCAGATGAAACTCTTTTCTCCTGCTCCTTGATATGTTTTTTATCCCATCGGGTTCCCTTCTGGAAGGAGAACGATGATCTTACTCTCTTTTATTTCAGATTCTGACATAGGAAGTGGTGACAAGAGGTGATGCTGGAAGCTGAGTCTTTGAGGATGGAAACCTACATAAGGCAATGTCAGAAACACTCGTAGTGATGGAGCCCCCCACCCCTGAATCCAGGGAGATCCCTGAACCCATATTAGGGGGTCTTTTGGGAAACCCAGAAGGGCAGAGCCTGCGGAGTTGCCCCTCTCAGGAGGGAGGTTTCAAGCAGGTGACAGTCACCCATTGGAAGATCCAAACAGGAGAGTCAGCCCAGGTGGGTAGCAAATCAGGAGGAAGCCCACTTCTGAGTTCAAACCTCCTCATACTTCAGAGAGAGCTTATAGGAGGGGAAGCCGAGCAGCATGAGACTTGCAGCAAAAGCTTCACATTTAACTCGGACCTAGTTAGACATGAGGTTTCTCATACTGGGGAGAAGTCCTACAAATGTGATCGTTGTGGGAAAGGCTTCATCCAAAGCTCTCACCTTGCAGAGCACCAGAGAGTTCATGCTGGAGAAAGACTCTATGTGTGTAATGTGTGTGGGAAAGACTTCCTTCACTATGCAGGTCTTATTGAGCACCAGAGAGCTCATGTAGGGGAAAAGCCATTCAAATGTGTTCAGTGTGGGAAAGCATTCTGTCACAGCTCAGACCTAATTCGACACCAGCGAGTTCATACCCGGGAGAGACCTTTTGAATGCAAAGAATGTGGGAAAGGCTTCAGTCAGAGCTCATTACTTATTCGACATCAGAGAATTCACACAGGAGAAAGGCCCTATGAATGTAACGAGTGTGGAAAATCTTTCATTAGGAGCTCAAGCCTTATTCGACATTATCAGATCCACACAGAAGTGAAACAGTATGAATGTAAGGAGTGTGGGAAGGCTTTCCGTCATCGCTCAGACCTCATTGAACACCAGAGAATTCACACTGGAGAGAGACCCTTTGAATGTAATGAGTGTGGGAAAGCCTTTATTCGGAGTTCAAAGCTTATACAGCATCAGCGGATCCACACAGGAGAAAGGCCTTATGTGTGCAATGAGTGTGGGAAGCGTTTCAGCCAGACATCAAACTTTACTCAGCATCAGAGAATTCACACTGGAGAGAAACTTTATGAATGTAATGAATGTGGGAAAGCTTTCTTTCTGAGTTCATACCTTATTCGACACCAGAAAATACACACTGGAGAGAGGGTATATGAATGTAAAGACTGTGGGAAAGCTTTTCTCCAGAAAGCCCATCTCACTGAACATCAGAAAATTCACACTGGCGATAGACCCTTTGAATGTAAGGACTGTGGGAAAGCTTTCATTCAGAGCTCCAAGCTTCTTCTACATCAGATTATTCATACTGGAGAAAAGCCCTATGTATGTAGTTATTGTGGGAAAGGCTTTATTCAGAGGTCAAACTTCCTTCAACACCAGAAAATTCATAATGAAGAGAAACTCTATGAATGTGGTCAGTATGGGAAAGATTTCAACTCAGCTCCAAACTTTAAAAATAATCAAGGTGTTCACCAAGCAGAACTTCCCTTGAATAAGACCCCTGTACATTTGGGTGAGAAGTCTGTAGGTCATGGGGAACTTTCAGATAACTTATAATCATTCTCTAACTCAATGACAATGTTTGGAAGTGAGTGGCATGAGTCCTCATTCACGTGGCTTTGGATGTGTCAGCATTTCCCAAAGTCACAGATGGGCTGCTTTAGGAGTAGGCTACTGCCCGCCACTTAGCAGCATTGCCAGACTGCTGTCCCCCTCCTCGGCTAGGAATGTGTGTCCTCAGGAGAACCACATGACTGGACGGCTGACTTTGAGCTGGAACAATGTTGGGGAGGAGCTAGGTCTCAAGGCTTCTATATTTTATTGCACAATGACAATTCAACCCTGAGCTAAACCCCTTTTACAGCAGAACTATGTATCTGATCTTATTCTTAAAACTTTGAGTATTATGTAGCAATTTTTGACCTATCAAAAAGGCAAGTTGGAAAGATACTTTCTTATTTTAAACCATAAGTTGGTACCCTGTTGTCCTTAAGATAAATTCTAAACTCCCTGTCCTGTATCCTAAGGCCTTTTCCTCTCTGGAACCATGTCTCCCACCATTTAACTCTGCAACATAGTTGGCACTGCAGCAACACTGATTGACATCACCACTTGTCCAAGCTTTTCATGCCCCTTTGCTTTTGTCCTTATTTGAATACTCTCCTCTCCTCACCTAGTTAACTCATCATGAGTCAAGACCTGTCTGAGGCATCATGTCAGGCTAAGCCAGCTACCCCTCTGTGCTTCTGTTTCTCTGCTCGCCTCCATGACTGCACGTACTTTGATATGTCAAAATCATGTTTTTATATACTATCATTATTACACTAAATTCTCTAAGGACAATGATCAATCATTAATTTATGTGTCTGACATCTAGTGGAAGGCAGTAAAAAGCACACCCCAAATCTATGTGTAATTGGCACCTCTATTGCTTGTCCTTTCTATATTTTATTTTTAAAAACATCTTGGATATTTTTGTTGTTTTGTAATAGGATAATTACTGTTCTACTGGAAATATCTTCTGTTAGCCCCAGTGATGTTTTCTGCTCATACTTAGAAGTTGCAAGCAAAAGCCATCTAAGACTGGCACCCCTGTTATTTATTACCTGTAGAGCTCAGCCATGACCACTTGCCTTCAGGGAGCATTGTCTTCATTTAGTTGTGTATCTTTCTGAGCCACTCGGGGCACATGATTCCAGTGTACTACACAACTTTATTCTGTCTTAATAGATTGAACTCAACTTTTGTCACATCCCCTGATCTCTCACTCATTTTGTCTTTTACTTGAAAAGTGTATTGCTCTATAAAGACCAGTTCTAAAAACTGGAAAAACAGATTAAGTAAGACATCATCCATCCTGAAGTCATTCAAAGTCAAATGGGGAAGACAGATCAGTACAGAGTTAAATGTTGAAATTGAAGTATGTTCCAAGTCGTGTAGGAGCATAGCTAAGAAGGTGACTGATTTTGACATAGAGGATCTGGCATGGCTTCTCAGAAGAGGTCCACAGACATAAATAGGCATTTGTCAGCTGGAGAAGAAAAGAGTGCTCTGGGAGGGAATATGCAGAAACGGAGGTGTGGGAGGCTGTTTAGCAGAGCTGTTGAAAAGCAGGCAAGTTTTACTGCCCAGCGGATAGCGGTCTAGCGAGACTATTGTTGCCTCTGTATTCCTTGTATCTGAATGTCAACCAAAACAACTGGTTTCAAAATGACATATAGCAGGGTTTTTTTTGCCCGTGAGAGCATATTTGAGTTCTTAACAAATTCCAGCAACCCTAGGAGCCTTCAGGGGGTAAATAATTAAAAAAAGACATGCAATACTCCACCTTCTGGAACATTTACCATTATCAGAGGTATTTTACATGGTATAGGAGCAGATATCAGATCATTTTGGTCAACTTCATTGAGGTCCAATTTCTATACAGTAAAATACCTATTTTATGTGTACAGAGTTCTGAAAAATCTATACACCATGTAACAACCATAAGAATCAAGAAAAATAACACTTCTATCATCCAAAAGCATTCCCTTTTGCCTTTTCCCAGCTAACCCCACCCCAGCCCCAAGTAACCACTTCCTGTCAGTGTAGGTTAGTTTTGCTTATTCTAGGACTTTGTATAAATGGATTCATATAGTATATAATCTTGTGTGTCTTAATTCTTTCACTTTGGCATGTTCTAAAAGCTCAAATTAGTTACATGTTTTAGTAGCTCTTTGCTGCATAGTGTTCCATTTTAAGGAAAAGCCATCATTTGGTATTCATCTGTTGATAGAAATTTTGGTTTCCAGATTTGGTTCTTATGAATAAAACTGCTATGAGCACTTGTGTAAAAGTACTTAGTTGGATATGCCTCTTTATTTCTCATGGGTAAATGCCTAGAACTTTAATTGCTGGGTTGTAAGATGAGTGTGTTTTTAACTTTATAAGAAATTGCCAAAAGTTCTCCATTGTGGTTGTACCATTTAACACTCCTGCCATAGTGTGTCAGGGTTCTGATTGTTCCACATTCTTGCTGATGCTTAATATTGTCATTCTCCTGAAATTTAATCCATATTAATGGTATATAATGATGTCTCTGTGCTTCTATTATGTATCTGCTGCTGAGTGATGGTGTTGAGCATCTTCATCTGTGTGTTGCCCATCTATCACGTTTTGTGTTGTGTCTCTACACACCATTTACCCATTTTTGAATTGGGTGGTTTCTCTTTTTTTTTGTTGGTATCGTTAATGTACAATTATGTGAACAACATTATGGTTACTAGACTCCCCTATTATCAAGTCTCCCCCACATACCCCATTACAGTCACTGTTCATCAGTGTAGTAAGATGCTACAGAATCATTACTTGTTTTCTCTGTATATACTGCCTTTCCCATGTGCCCCCCTGCTACACTATATGTGCTAGTTGTAATGCCCGTTTTTGCCCCTTATCCCTCCCTTCCCACCCATCCTCCCCAGTCCCTTTCCCTTTGGTAACTGTTAGTCCATTCTTGGGTTCTGTGAGTCTGCTGCTGTTTTGCTCCTTCAGTTTTTTCCTTTGTTCTTATACTCCACAGATGAGTGAAATCATTTGGTACTTGTCTTTCTCCGCTTGGCTTATTTCACTGAGCATAATACCCTCTAGCTCCATCCATGTTGTTGCAAATGGTAGGATTTGTTTTCTTCTTATGGCTGAATAATATTCCATTGTGTATATGTACCACATCTTCTTTATCCATTCATCTACTGATGGACACTTAGGTTGCTTTCATTGTAAATAGTGCTGCAATAAACACAGGGGTGCATATGTCTTTTTCAAACTGGGCTGCTGCATTCTTAGGGTAAATTCCTAGGAGTGGAATTCCTGGGTCAAATGGTATCTCTTATTTTTAGATTTTGAGGAACCTCCATACTGCTCTCCACAATGGTTGAACTAATTTACATTCCCACCAGCAGTGTAGGAGGGTTCCCCTTTCTCCACAACCTCGCCAGCATTTGTTGTTGTTTGTCTTTTGGATGGTAGCCATCCTTACTGGTGTGAGATGATATCTCATTGTGGTTGTAATTTGCATTTCTCTGATGACTAGCGATGTGGAGCATCTTTTCATGTGTCATTGGCCATCTGAATTTCTTCTTTGGAGAACTGTCTGTTCAGCTCCTCTGACCATTTTTTAATTGGATTATTTGCTTTTTGTTTGTTGAGGTGCATGAGCTCTTTATATATTTTGGATGTCAACCCTTTATTGGATCTGTCATTTATGAATATATTCTCCCATACTGTAGGATGTCTTTTTGTTCTATTGATGGTATCCTTTGCTGTACAGAAGCTTTTCAGCTTGATGTAGTCCCACTTGTTCATTTTTGCTTTTGTTTCCCTTGCCCGGGGGGATATGTTCATGAAGAAGTCACTCATGTTTATGTCCAAGAGATTTTTGCCTATGTTTTCTTGTAAGAGTTTTATGGTTTCATGACTTACTTTCAGGCCTTTGATCCATTTTGAGTTTACTTTTGTGTATGGGGTTAGACAATGATCCATTTTCATTCTCTTACATGTAGCTGTCCAGTTTTGCCAACACCAGATGTTGAAGAGGCTGTCATTTCCCCATTGCACGCCCATGGCTCCTTTATTGTATATTAATTGACCGTATATGTTTGGGTTAATATCTGGGGTCTCTATTCTGTTCCACTGGTCTGTGAGTCTTTTCTTGTGCCAGTACCAAATTGTCTTAATTGCTGTGGCTTTGTAGTAGAGCTTGAATTTGGGAAGCGAGATGCACCCTGCTTTATTCTTCCTTCTCAGGATTGCTTTGGCTATTTGGGGTCTTTTGTGGTTCCATATGAATTTTTAAACTGTTTGTTCCAGTTCGTTGAAGAATGCTGTTGGTATTTTGATAGGGATTGCATTGAATCTGTAGATGATTGCTTTAGGCAGGATGGCCCTCTGCCCATTTTTTAATCGGGTTGTTTGCTTTTTGGTTGTTGAGGCACATGAGCTCTTTATATATTTTGGAAGTCAATCCCTTATTGGATATGTCATTTATGAATATATTCTCCCATACTGTAGGATGAAATACTTTGTCCTTGTCCTTGATCTTTGTCATTTTAATTATTATATGTCTTGGTGTTGTTCTCAGTGGATCACTTGTGTTGGGAGATCTGTGGACTTCCATGGCCTGAGGCACTATTTCTTTCCCCAGATTGGGGAAGTTTTCAGCAATTATTTCTTCAAAGACACTTTTCTCTCTCTTCTTCTTCTGGTACCCCTATAATGCGAATTTTGTTCCATTTGTATTGGTCACACAGTTCTCTTAATCTTTCATTTCTAGAGATCCTTTTACCTCTCTCTGCCTCAGCTTCTCTGTATTCTTGTTCTCTATTTTCTGTTCCATTTACTCCTTCCTCTACCTCATCTAATCTGCTTTTAAATCCCTCCATTGTTTGTTTCATTTCAGTTATCTCCCTCCTGAATTTGTCCCTTAGCTCTTGAATATTTTTCTGTAGCTTCATTAGCATACTTATGAGTTTTATTTTGAATTATTTTTCAGGAAGATTGGTGATTTCAGTCTCACTGAACCCTTTTTTCTGGTGTTTGAGGGGTTTTGGATTGAACTAGGTTCTTCTGCCTTCTCATAATCGTGGAGCAATGGGATTGGTTGCAAGTGAGCGACACGGTGTCAGCTGGGAGGACAAAGTCCCTTCATGCTTCCTGGCCACAGTGCCTGTCTCCGCTGTCTGTTGCAAGTGAGCGACACGGTGTCAGCTGGGAGGACAAAGTCCCTTCATGCTTCCTGGCCACAGTGCCTGTCTCCGCTGTCTGTGCCAGTTAACCATGCACAGGGAGCAGCCTCTGCGTTGATCCCCTAAGCTGCTGTGGGTGGGGCAGCCCTCAGGGGGGCCTAGTGCGACCGGGGTGGCGGCACAGGCGAGTGGTGCATGTGTCTGCTGCGAGGAAAGCCCTTTCGTGCTTACCGGTCGCCGTTCCTCTCTCAGCTGTCTGAGCCAGTTAACTGTGTGCCAGGAGCGGCCTCTGGGTTGATCCCCTAAGCTGCCATGGGCGGGGTGGCCCTCAGGATGGCTTAGGATGATGAAAGGGTTTGCCAGCAAGCCATGCAGTTGTTTGCAGGAAGGGCAAAGCCCTTTTGTGCTTCTAGGTATTCATGTCTGTCTTTGGTGTCTGGGCCAGTTAGCCACACGCAGGGAGAAGCCTCTGCATTAAGCTGTGTGGTTGCTGTAGGTGGGGCTGCCTTCCGACTGGTCTGCGGCAATTGCACGGACAGCGGGTTTGTGCGCAGGTACTGGTGGGGAGCAAGAAGCAGCAGGCTGCTTATTGCGGTGGGGAACCTCAGGGCTACATTGCCAAGCAGGGGGATGGAGTGCCTGAAGCTCCTGAAAGTTCCCAGCCTGCTGGGCTATGTGTGCTAGGCCAATTTTGTCCACCTCTTCCTTCTCCTAAACCCTTGCCCCTTTCATAGCCTTCTGACTGTTGAGAAGTCTTTCAAAGCGTGTGCTTTTCTTTTGTCCCAGGGCAGCAGCAGGTTGTGGGAACCTGTTTGCAGTCTTAGTCTCTGACTTTGGTTTTCAGCCCCTCTAATCTCCAGAGCACCCAGCAGTGTGGGTCTGTGTTCCTGGGGTAGATTTCTAGGGCTGGGTATTTAGCAGTCCTGTGCTTCCACCCCCTCCCCACTCTGATTCTCTTCCTCACCGCTGGTGAGCTGGAGTGAGGGGAGTGCTTGGGTCCCACTGGGTTGCAGCCTGTTTACCCTTTTCATGAGATGTTTGCTTCTCCCAGATGTAGACTGGCTGGCACACTCTCTTTCTGTTCACTCTTTTAGGAATGGTTGTATTTGCTGCATTTTCAAAATATACGCGGTTTTGGGAGGAGATTTTCACCACAGTTCTCATGCTGCCATCCTTTTTCCCCAGCCAGGAATTTGCATCTTTTATAAAATGTTTTCTTAGGTATAATGTGTGTGTGTGTGTGTGTATTTTTCACACCACCACACAATTAACCGTGACACTGTCTTCCTGCATATGTATAGAGTCAGATCTCACTAGTTAAGGGCACAGTCCCCAGTCTTCAGACACCAATCTCAAGTCCAGGTTATCACCTGTGCTTCTGACTGACCAGCTATACATCAGAAGATTCCACAACCCCCTCCTTAGGTTATTAATTTGCTAAAGCAGCTCACAGAACTCAGAAAACATTTTATTTATTAACTTACAAGTTTCTTATAAAAGGATACAACTCAGGAACAGCAGATGGAAGAGATGTATAGGGTAAGGTGTGGGGAAAGGATACAGATGCCATGATCTCTGAGTGTGCCACTCTCCCCAAATACCTGTGTTCACCAGCCTTGATGTTCTCAACCCCGACCTTTTGGGTTTTCATAGTGACTTCTTTCCACGGGTAAGATTGATGAAATCATTGGCCATCCGTGATTGGTTCAACCTCCAGCCCCTCCCCCTCCCAGCTCCTGGAGGTCAAGTGGGTCTAAAAGTTCCAACCCTCTGGCATGGTTGGCTCTCCTGGGAACTAGCTGCCCTCTGGTGTTAACCTAGGGGCTTTGCAAGTCACCTCAATGGCATAAGCTCCGAAAGGGCTACTTCTGAGCTGTCACTCAGGAAATTCCAAGAGTTTTGAGTTCAATACCAGGAACTGGGGATTTCTTATTATACACCATTAGGTGTTTGATTTTTTTCTTATTACCAGATCTTAAAAGTTTTAATTTCATTTACCCAGTATTCTCTGCTAGTAGAAATGTAATAGATTTTTATATCCTCTGGCCTTACTTAATTCACTCATTAGCTCTAGTTTTTGTTTGAAGATTCCTTAGGATTGTCCTATAAGGACTGTCTTGTCATTGGATAACAAGTTTTACTTCATTCTAATCTTTATGGCTTTATTTCTTTCTCTTACTTTCTTGCACTGGCTTGGACCTGCAATAAAAGACAAGGAGAAGCAGTGAGAGCAGACAGCCTTGCTGTGCTCCCAGTCTTACAAGTATTGACTGGTGAATGTGATGTTAGCTGCAGGTTTCCCATCAGTTGTGGAAGTTCTGTTCCTTGTTTGCTGGGAGTTTTTATCAGGGTAGGATATTGAATTTTAACAAACGCCTTTTCTGCATCTGTGGAGGTGATAATTTCATCATAATGAGTTCTCCTTTATTCTATTAATGTGGGTAATTATGTAGATTCATTTTCTTTTTTTTTAACAATAACTTTTAATATTATCCAATGTCCTGCCCAGTGTTCAGATTTCTAGTTATCTCATGTACGTCATTAACAGGTTACTATTTATTTTTTCCTTGTTTGGTCTGTTTTGTTTCTTTGCTGATTTCAGATTAATTTTTTTGTATCATTAATATACAATTGCATGAGCAACATAATGGTTACTAGATTTCCCCCATTATCAATTCCCACCGCACACCCCATTACAGTCACTGTCCATCAGCACAGTAAGATGCTATAGAGTCACTACTTGTCTTCTCTGTTATACTGCCTTCCCCGTGCCCCCCTACACACATTATGTGTGCTAATCATAATATCGTAATGCCCCTTATTCCCCTTCTCCCTCCCTTCCCACCCAGTCTCCACTCAGTGCCTTTCCCTTTGGCAACTGTTAACCCATTCTTGGGTTCTGTGATTCTGCTGCTGTTTTGTTCCTTCAGTTTTTGCTTTGCTCTTATGCTTCTCAGATGAGTGAGATCATTTGGTACTTGTCTTTCTCCACCTGGCTTATTTCACTGAGCATAATACCCTCTAGCTCCATCCATATTGTTGCAAATAGTAGGATTTGTTTTCTTCTTATGGCTGAATAATACTCCGTTGTATATATGTAACACATCTTCATCCATTCATCTACTGGTGGACACTTAGGTTGCTTCCATTTCTTGGCTATTGTAAATAGTGCTGTGATAAACATAGGGTTGCATATGTCCTTTTGAAACTGGGCTCCTGCATTCTTAGGGTAAATTCCTAGGAGTGGAATTCCTGGGTCAAATGGTATTTCTATTTTTCGTTTTTTGAAGAACCTCCATACTGCTTTCCACAGTGGTTGAACTAGTTTACATTCCCACCAGCAGTGTAGGAGGGTTCCCCTTTCTCTGCTTCCTCGCCAGCATTTATTGTTCCTGTTCTTTTCTATGTTGGCCATCCTAACTGGTGTGAGGTGATATCTCATTGTGGTTTTAATTTGCATTTCCCTGATAATTAGCAATGTGGAGCATCTTTAGATTCACTTTCTATATGCTATTTTATTTGTTGTAAATGTTTTTGCCATGATTGTGTTTTCTTCTAATTTATGATGTGTTTCACTTTAAAGTTTTTCATGTTAAATTTTCTATCTTGCATAATAATTTTCTCTTATATGCCTTGGGATTTTCTTTCTTGTTCAAAGCTTTCTATTCTTTGAGATTATAAAAGGCTTCCTCTACTTTAATAGTTTTTACTTTTTCAAAAAGATTAATAGACTTTGTACTTTTAGAGTACTTTTAGGTTTTACTGAAAAATTGCCCAGAAAGTACAGAGTTCCCATAGGCCCTCTCACTCCATTTCTCCTGTTAGTCACATTAGCCTGATGCATTTGTTACAGTGATGGGCTGCGTGGAAACGCTGTCATCACCTGCGGGCTCACTCCTGGTGCTGTCCACCCCATGGGTTTGGGCACATGTATGACGTATGTCCACCATTACGGCATCATACACAGGCATTTCACTGCCCTGCAAACCCTCTGTGCTCCCCCATCCACCCCTCCCTCCTCACCCCTGACCACCGCTGATCCTTTCCCTGCCTCCAGGTTGCAGGCTGTGGAGGGTCAGAGGTGGAGTCATGCAGTATGGAGCCTTTTCAGATTGGCTTCTTTCTCTTTGTGATGTGTATTTAAGCTTCCTTCATGTCTTTTTGTGTCTGGGCAGCTCATTTCTTCTTAGTGCTGAATAGTATTCCACAGTCTGCATGGATCCCAGTTTATTAATCCACTTGGAAGCGCATCTTGGTTGCTTCTGAGCTTTGGCAATTATGAAAAAGCTGCTGTTAACATCCACGCGCAGGTGTTTGTGTGGGCATAAGCTTTCATCTTTTTGGGGTCAGTGCCAAGGAGCACAGTTGCTGGATCTTATTGTGAGAACATGTTAATTTTATTTAAAAAAACACCAAACTCTCTTCCCAAAGTGGCTGTTCCTACTAGTCTGGATTTCCACTAGCAATGGATGAGAGCTCCTGCCACTCCAGATCCTCTCTGGACTTGGTGTCAGCATTTTGGACTTTAGCCATTCTAGCAGGTAGGTGTTTACTTTTTTTGAATGTTTGGATTCTTAGTCAAAAAGAATTTTCCAGACTGGCCTGCTGTGCAAAAGCCCCTTACTTGTTCCAGCATTCTTCCCCATGGCTCTTGCCTGGCCCCCCCTGCACCAGCAGGCCCTTTGCAGAAGCACCACACATCCAGATGGGCCCTAGGGCCAGGCAGGCTCCTTCCTGTCCACACAGCCTTCCTCTGCAGGTTGGGACACTCCGCCCACTCTCACCTCCCATGGCCTGCTCTATCTTATGGCTGCCCACTCCTCTGCTCTCTGCCCAGCTTGGCTCACTGAACCCCCCAGAGGCACTACCCTCATTGCACCCTCCAAGTTGCCTCCCCACTGTTCCTGGTGCCCAGTGTCCCTCCTGCCCCTGCTGATGTGTCTAGAAGCTGAAGAGGGTCAGTGACTCTTTTTTGGGAGAGAACAGAGCCTGGCTGCAGGTAGGCTTGGTCTGGTCCCTTTTCTCTGGACTGGCCTGAAGATCCTGGGGAGGGGCTCCAGAGGGCAACGGGAAAGGCCCACGGAGCTCACCTGGAGAGCAATGGTTACTTGGGGCAGGAACTGAAGGGCAGTGGGCAGGTGTTAAGGGAACAGAGGAAGACAGGTGTCACAGTCTGAGGGGGGCCCAGACTGGAGTGTCCACTTGGGGCCATCAGCGCCCTCTTTTGCTGGGTGTTGCCCAGCCTCAGGGGCCTACAAGGCCAGGATCTCCTTCATCCCTACAACAACTCTCCTGGCAGCAGCTGGACAGGGCAGACTAGGGGTGTTCGAACAGCTGTTTAGTGGGAGAAGCCAGAAGGCTGCGCATGGATAAGGGACTAGCAGAATGACCAGGACTATCAAAAGCCCAGCAGGATTTTAAAAGTAAACTTTGTAAAAGTTTTAAAAAGCATCACATACATAGAAATATGTCTCAGATGGTACATGTGCAAGTGGATGAATTTTCACAAAGTAAAAATGTCTAATTGGTGAGTAATCTTGTCAATAGGTTCTAAGCCAAGAAGGTATGGTAGAAATTTAAAGCATTCTTAGGGTTGGGAGGAGGGTAAAGATACTGTCTTCATAAACGATGAGCTTAAATGTATATGTTAATATTTCTCAATTGTTAGATTACCACTCAAGTAGAGAAACAAATGGAATGGGGGAAGGTTTCAACTGAAACATGAAAAGAGAGAAAGATAATACACAAAGTATAAATCAGTAAAAAGCCATCCTGCTATTAATACTGCATATCAATCAATATAAAATAACTACAATGTGTAGTTAGAAGACCAAGGCTGTCATGTTGTATTCAAAAACATACAAACCATTTATACTGTTTCTATACTGAAATACAAAATTGATACTCATAGAAAGGGGGTATGTAAGACAAACCAAAAGAAAGCTGGAGCAGCTACATTAACATCAAACAGGATGTGGGCAGAAGTAAAGAACACTGCAGGTTGACAAAAGGTTAAATTCACAGAAAAGAGCTAGTAGCTTTAAATTTGTATGCAACTAGTAATTGCTTCAAAATACATAAAGTAAAAGTGACAAAACTATTCATGGGAGCTATTTCATGGAAAGCAGTGACCTAGACTATAGAAACTGGGGGTGCGGAAAGAAGAGAGATGAGCATTTCAGCTGCCAGCAGCGCCCGGGAAGAGGATGTAGAGAGCGTGCTGCTGTTTATCAGCTTGGTCGTCACCGAGAAACTCGATTTAACCCTACAAATTGGGGGTTGAATAAAGTCCACGTTACATTTAGTGGAATTGTGTCTTCAGTCTCTGTTAATGACAATTTCCCCTCTCTATTTTTTCACTCTTTTCCATTTATTTTTACTGAGTCATTTGTCCTGTAGAGGATTTGGATGACTGCTTATCAGCTGTGTATTTGAACATGTCCCGCTGTCCCCTGTATTCTGTGTGTATCGGCAGTTAGATCTACAAGCTTGATTGTATCAGTTCTGTTTCTAATCAAGAACGCTCTATAGGTCGCTCTGTGCTGATTCCATTGCTTCACACCAGGATGTACTTAATATCTCACTGAGTAAACTTAGAGTTTAGGTCAGCTGGATCCCCCATTATCCTTCTCAGTCCTTAGCAGTCATGATATTGTTGAGTGTTTCTTTTGCATTTATTAGATGGAATTCTATACATAACTTTCCTTCACCAACAATTTATCCTGAAATATCGTTCATATGGGAAAGACAGAATAGACATGTAATTATTTACCAGTTTTAAAAAATAATGTGTTATATTAGCAACCTTCAAGATGACCAGTGGGGGTGGGTTTTTAGAGTATTTTAAACTCATGGGTTTTATGTGTTTGATGTGTACTGTCTTTGATTCAATACAGTTCATCATTTTTTTTATGCCTAAATTGTTGCTTTTTGGCCAATCAGAGCCCTTCACTTTTTCTACCCTGTCCTTCTGACAAATTTCTCTGGTGGCAACCTTGCTTTCTGTGACAAGATGTTCTAGAGTCATTCTGTATTATTTCCTTCCCCAAATCTCAAAGGAGCTCTAGTTCCATTTATAGAGAAATGGTTATAAGAACTTTTACTGGCTTGGGTTCCAAGTGACCTTTTCCAAGAGGATTTGTTGGCTGCTGCTCACAACTCAGGAGAATTCCAACCAAGAACCAGAACTTTCACACTAAATTTTGATGGGGGTTGTCCAGGCATACAGGTCACATGTGTTCAGACCCCAACCACTGAGTAAGGTGGGGTGGGGCTTCTGCCAACTCTGTGTGACTCACCCACACTATGCCCTGCCCTTGGTGACGGAGAGCTCTACGTTATGTGCGCTCTGCACTCCAGCCTCCACTACCTGGGCATGTGTGGCCTTGGCCCAAAGCAGGGTCTTCCCTGCACAGCCCGCGCTGCCTGCAAGTGCTGGCCACTCCAGCCAAGCTGTAGCCACCTCAAAGGCCAGGCCACCCCAAGTCTTCTCTCCAACCCACATCCAAAGACCCATCATTTAAGAAACCCTTCCCTCTGCTCTCGGGATGAAGTCCTTACCCCTCAGGCCAGTGTGGAGGGTGCAGAGGTGGGAGGGTGCCTGGCCTCCCCAGAAAGCCACCCAACCTCCCGGATACAAACCACAACTGAGGGATGTCTTAATAAGCAGTCCATGCACATTGGGACAACTAAGTGGGATGCATGACCCAGGCAGAGGGGTGGTCAAAAAGACACCTTGGGACAGTTGACATTTTAATGTGAGCTAGGGATTAGCTAATACTATTCTCTCCACACTAAAGCTCCTGATTTGGGTCACTGTACTGCAGTAATGAAGAATGTCCTTGCGCTCAGCAAACACTAAAGATTTAGAGGTGAAGAGGGCACCATGTTTCAAACCTAATCTAAAGTGGTTCAGGCAAAATGCAGACACAGCAAAGGGGCAGAATGCAAGATTCTGGTGATTCTCGGTAAATAGAATATGGGAGTTCCTGTACTATAATTGCAACTTTTCTCCAAATTGGAAATTATACCAAAATTAAGAATCACCCAAGGTCCACCCAGTATGTTAAACATAAAACCTCCGGTGGCTCCCCAGGGCACTGGGAACGAAGCCCACGCCCTCCCGGTGGCCCTCCTGCCCTCATCTCCCTCCGCGCTGGCCCTCGGGGCTACAACACATGCCTGCCCAGCTCGTCCCCGCACCGCCGGACTCCTTCCCTGCTCTTACATTGGTCTACGCCTGCCAGGTCCTTCTCCGCCACCAGACGCTTAGCCTTTGTGGGCCGCACACTGGTATGGCCGACCTCCTCTGCCCCTGCCGGAGCGGCCAGAGGTCAGCTGCGGAGTAGAGGGGTGCTGAATACCTCCACACACAGGGTGAAGGTGCAGCAAGCTACCGTTTAGCTTAGACACCGGAAGCGGGAATGAATGGCCCTCTGCTAGGCAGACATGCCGGAGCAGCGAAACAGGTGGTACCCAGCAGCGTGAGAGGGTCACACCTTTATTAGCAATTGCATTCACCAAATGCGCAGTCCTGCGCAACGCTGTCTCCAGGCCCTGGTCTCACTGGCTTTCTTTCCAGTAGTTTCAGGCTCTCGCTGAGATGGCTTTGGCTACAGAGTCAGTGCCCACTTTCTCAGCAGAGGGAGTGGTATTCTGTGAGGCCGAACGCAATGAGGACCGCCCAGAGGCCCAGGAGCCCGGGCGGGATGCAGTCAAGGACCGGACCTGGGAGCCCGCGCACGATGGGGCCAACAACGGAACCCTCGAGCCCACTCGCGACGGGATGAATGGCTGACCCCGGGAGGCCACGCGCCATGAGTCCCGAGACCGGTTCCGGGAGGCCATGCACGATGGTCCTGTGGAGGAGGCCAAAGAACACGGGCGCGAGGCGGTCGGCAGAGGCGGCTGCCACAGTGGCGGACCACCAGGGCCTCGGCGCAGCCAGTCATGCACGCGCGTCAGGTCCCGCGTGTCTTCGTGCTCGCGCCGCAGCTGCTCACGCTGCTCCAGCAGCTGGCGCCTCGTGTTGTGCAGCAGCTGGGCTCCGCGGATCAGCCGTAACAGCTCCTGTCGCAGACGCCCATTGTCCGTCTTGAGGGCCTGCGTGTGCGCGATGAGCGCGCCGGTCGCCTCCCGCTCCGCCCGCCGCGCCAGGGACTGCATGCGCTGGCGCGCCTCACGCTCAAAGGCCGCCTTGTCCTCCAGGAAGCGTCGTTTCACGCGGCGGAGCAGCTGCGTGTGCTCCGCGCGCATGTGCAGCAGCTCGCGCTCAAGCGCCCGGATGCGGGCCAGCTGCTCCAGCTGCAGCTCCTGCGGCGGGGCCGCGGGTCAGCGCCCATCCCACCCGGCTCCGCAGCCAGCCCGCCCTCCTGCCGACCCGCCTCCGGGCACTCGCACTGGCCTGGTAGGGCTGCAGCTCCTGCACCTGCCGCGCCATCTGGGCCGCGCGTGCCTCCATCTCCAGCAGCTGCGCGCGCACCCCGTCCTCGCGCCCGCGGTAAAGTGACGCCAGCTGGTCTCGCTGCCGGTGGATCTGCGTCAGATCTACCCGGTTCTGCTCGTCCAGACGAACGATGGCGTTGGCGCAGCGATGCGAGCGCGCCTTCACATAGCTGGCGAACAGCCGGTTCTCCTCGCGCAGGCGCAGCGCCTCGCTGTCCAGGAAGACGTTCTCCTGCAGCATCTGGTCCACACGCTCCTCGCATGCGTCCAGCTGCTCCGAGAGCAGCTTGTACTGGCGCTGCAGGTTCTGTGGGCGCTCCGACAGCGGCGGCTCGGTGCCTTTGCCCACAGCGCCTGGCCAGCGACCCGAGCTGGGCCCGCGCTTCTTCTTGGGAGCCATGGATTGGGGCCTGGGGCACAGGGATGTGTGAGGGCACCGACCCCTGCCCGCTCCTCCCGCTGGGCTGTTCCTCTCCCCTGGCCCGAATGTACTAGAGGTGTGGGACGTGTCTCAGGGTCACGATATTGGAGGAGGCTGAGTCAGGGGTCGGGGCACTAGCCAACCTTTACTCATGGGCTCCTTCTGGACCTTGGTCTTCCATCGGGGTGCGTTCACCTTTAGTAATGGCATTCAGCCCGCATGGTCTCCATGGAGACAGAACTTAGCCGCACCCACCCGTTGCTGCAGCAACGACACCCCCGCCCCGCCTCCATTCCCACTCCCTCGTCCAAAGTCAGTGCGTGACAGCCTCTGTGTACACCCTGCAGAGGTTGGACCTGAGACTGGTAGGACTTTGGCTCCCAGAGGACGATACAGGACTTGTTTCCGAATCCAGCAGACCCAGCAGCCGTCCAGTATCCCCACTCTCCACATGGCAGGGTTAGCCTTTAGCTTTTTGTTCACCAGTGGGCTCCTACCTCCAACGCCACTGTATGGGGAGAGGCTTCGCCAAGCCGCTGGCCTCCAGCCTTGAGCAAACCCCTACGTGTGAAATCTCCCTCTCTCTTGTCAGGATAGAACTTCCCCACAGCTTTTCATCTCTCCAGGGACTGCAGTTTTCTTGAAGCACCTCGTGATTTCTTTGCTTTTTCTGGAGGCCTCCGTGACAGTTACTGGGAAGGTTGAGTCCATTCGATGTCACCCATGTCCATTGTGTTTATTTCTGGGATGTCCTCTAAGCTCACAAGTATGGCACCTGTTCAACTCATCGCACCGACCTACGCACAGTCTGCTTGCCTTCCCAGCTGGCCAGGATGGCTGGAGGGGACGTGGACCCATCCGGGATTTTGCTGTTCTTGTTTTTGCTGTTGACATTGTGGAAACATCATAGCCTCTCATTTAATTCCGCCTTGGCTACATATGTGAGCAGCTCTCCCAGCGCCTGGAGTTGCTGACTGGCTCCAGCCAGCCACCAGAGCACCCACCCTCCATTCTGTCAGATGCCTCGGGAGCCGGTGTGTCTGGACTACCTTTGACGTGCAACTTAAATCTACACCTATTTTGGTCCTATCACTTTATATTTGAGTTTCTGTCCAGGTCTGTCCACATTTGCTGCAATATGGACAGATTCAGTAATTGTTTGGCTTGATAACTGTGAGCAGCACAGTTTAGGAAACCACGTTTGTAGAAAGGCTTGTGTTGAAAACTATCTTAGGAGGTCGGTTCAAAGCCGTTATAAACTTGCTCATACACGGCTGGACACACTCTAGTTAGCTACATCTCCAGGAAAGGTGTGACTGAGGACCTTAAAATTAGAAACAATTTCCTCCGTGTAAAAATGTTTTGTAAATAACACAATGATAGAAACTTCCAGACAAGGCATAATCTCCGTTTGTTTTAAACAGCAAAATTTTAAAGAAACGTTGATTCATAAACTTCAAAAACACCACCTGAATGTAGGCCTTAAATGATACGGGCTTTTCATGTGTGAAATTGGCCTGATTTACAGCTAAAATTAGGCGTCACCAGCAGAAGAACCGGGCCCCGCCCCGCCGGCCGTCGGAGACTTTTCCTTCTAGCCCCCCTCCACGGCGTTTTCATACCAGGGGCAGCCGCCCGCGCTCTCCACC